AAGCTACTCAGGAAGCTGAGGCAGGAGAATGGCGTGAACCCGGGAGGCGAGCTTGCAGTGAGCTCAGATCGCGCCACTGCACTCCAGCCTGGGCGACAAAGTGAGACTCTTGTCTCAAAAAAAAAAAAAAAAAATTAAGACTCGGTTTCACTATGTTGCCTAGGCTGGGTCTCGAACTCCTGGGCTCAAGCGATCCTCCCAAAGTGTTGAGATTACAGATGTGAGCCACTACGCCTAGCCAGAAGCAGCTATATATATATATATATATATATATAGTATATATATATTATATATATATATTTTCCAGACAGAGTCTCACTCTGTCACCCAGGCTGGAGTGCAGTGGTCCGATCTCGGCTCACTGCAATCTCTGCCTCTCCGGGTTCATGCAATTCTCCCGCCTCAGCCTCCGAGTAGCTGGATTACAAGTACGCCACCACGCTCGGCTAATTTTTTCTTTTTTTTTTGAGACGGAGTCTGGCTGTGTTGCCCAGGCTGGAGTGAGGCTGCTCTCAAACTCCTAACCTCAAGTGATCAGCCCGCTTCGGCCTCCCAAAGTGCTGGAATTACAAGCGTGAGCCACCGCGCCCGGCCTAGAAGCAGCTCTTTAAAGCAGGGTTCACCAACACAAATGCTTCCAGGGGTTGGCAGGTGACAAAAACAGGTGACACGGGCCAGGTGCAGGCAAAAGGGAGAGTGCTTGCTTTACAGTGTGCTGACTCTTGCCACATGTGCCAGTGGACCCACGGGACCAGATCTACTAAATTTCCAAGAGAAACTAGAAATCAGGCCAGGCGTAGTGGCTCATGCCTGTAATCCCAGCACTTTGGGAGGCCGAGGTGGGTGGATCACTTGAGCTCATGAGTTCGAGACCAGCCTGACCAACATGGTGAAACCTCATCTCTACTAAATACAAAAAATTTGATGGGCATGGTGACACATGCCTGTAATTCCCAGCTACTTGGGAGGCTGAAGCTGGAGAATCGCTTGAACCCAGGAGGCAGAGGTTGCAGTGAGCTGAGACTGCGACACTGCACTCCAGCCTCGGTGACAGAGCGAGACTCCATCTCAAAAAAAAAAAAAAAAAGCCTCAATTGTAAGTGGTCAATCCAAACTGACTACTTTTTTGGGGGAGGGGAAAAATCTACCAATTATTATTATTATATTTGAGACGGGCTCACTACAGCCCCCGACCTCCTGGGCTCAAGTGATCCTTCTCCCTCAGCCTCCCGAGTTGCTGGGACTACAGGCACGCGCCACATCTTTGTACTTTTTTTGTAGAGATGGGGTCTCACTATGTTACCCAGGCTGGTCTTGAACTCCTGAGCTCAAGCAATTCGCCCACCTCAGCCTCCCAAAGTGTTGGGATTACAGGTGAGAGCTATCGTGCCCGGGCTAAAATCTACATTTTTTTTTTTTAAATCTACAATTTTTAAATGTTAGCCGGGTCAGGTTGGCAGAACAGTATGTGCAGGATCAAAGAGGCCACATCCTGACTCGTGAACCGAGGCTCAAAAGCCAGCAACAGGCACCTTTTGGCGGTTTCAAGCCACTTCTGGAACTCTGACGCTCTGCACCCTTTCCCAGAGAGAGAACATCCCTGACCCGGGATTCTGGTCCCGAGTCACCTGTGCGCCCTGACGAGCGCCCCTGGCACCTAGGAAAGCCCCTGCTTGCTCACCAGGGCTGTTGATGTACATGTGGATGGGCTTCTTGTTGCTCTCGGACTGCAGGAAGAGGAGCTGTGCGATAACAAGGCTGGCAACGCTGTCATCGATCTGCAGGTGGACAGGGCAGGGGTGTTCCCAGATTCGGGGTGGGGAGAGAGAGTTTTAAGGCTGCTGGGGATGGGTCAGAGAACCAGGAAGGGGGACCAGGGCCCAAATAAAAGGGGTGGGGAAGAATTTAGGACCCAGAAGCGGATGGGGAGAGAGTAGTGGCTAGGACCCAGGCGGGGCTCAGGACACAGGAAAGGAAAGGGTCAGAACACCTGCGAAGAGTCTTGCTCCTAGGAATGAGGAGAGCGGTGCCAGGTGTCAGGAAGGCAGTGGGAGCTCAAGAGGCGAGGAGCAGCGGGGAAGAGGTGAGGAGCGGGTGGGGAGACCGGGAGCCAAGAGCGGAGTCAGAAGGAGAGGGAAGGGGGTTGGAAGGGGAGCGGAGCCTGGGGAAAGAAAGTCTGGGGCCGGGGAAGGAGAGGCGCAGGGGTTCTGGGCAGGCGCTTGGGAGAGTCCTGGGGAGGGTCCCGGCGCGCTCACCGGGCCCATGACGCACACGATGCGCTCCCGCAGCAGCCGCGAGTAGATGTCATAGGCGCGCTCGCCGCGGCCCTGAGGGTAGAAAGATGTAGGTGAGGGGTCGCGGGCAGCCCCCCGATCCTCACCCAGCCCGGAGCCCCCGGGCCGTGTCCCCGCCCGGCCGCCGTACCGTCTGCTCCACCACGATGGGAATGAGCGGGAGAGCCCGGGCCGCCGTCGCGTGCAGGCTCCGCTGCAGGGCCAGGCCGTTTTGGGGTGTCCGCTGCGGCGGCCGCTGCGCTGGAAAGTGAGCGGCGAGGCGAGGCCCCAGTGCGGGGTACCTGCATGCCGCCACCCGGGCCCCCCCCACTAATATTGCGGGCCACATCCCTCCACACGCCCCGGTCGGCTTCCGTCCGATGGCGGAACTACAACTTCCGGCGTGCTTTGCGCCTAGGAGCGCGCTTGCTAGGCCGCCTACTTCCGGGAGTGTGGGCGGGCGCCGTTAAGGGTGGGGCGGGGATAGGATCGGAACCTGAAAGGGAGGAGCCAGTGAAGTAAATAGAGTGGGCGGGGCTGGAGAAGCTTTAGAGTCTACAGTTCGAGTCCCCTTACCGACCAATTCGTCTTCGTTTTCTTTTTTCTCTTTTTTTGAGACGAAGTCTTGCTCTGTCACCCGGGCTGGAGTGCGGTGGCACGATCTTGGCTCACTGCAACCTCTGCCTGGTGGATTCAAGCCATTCTCCTGGCTCAGCTGCCCCAGTAGCTGGGATTACAGGCACACACCACCACACCCGGCTAATTTTTGTATTTTTAGTAGAGATGGGGTTTCACCATGTTGGCCAGGCTGGTCTTGAACTCCTGAGCTTGTGATCCTCCCACCTTGGCCTCCCAAAGTGCTGGGGTTACAGGCATGAGCCACTGCGCCTGGCCTCGTTTTCTACTGTTTCTGCTTTATTTTATTTATTTTTATTTTTTTGAGAGAGAATCTCACTCTGTGGCCCAGGCTGGAGTGCAGTGGCGCCATCCTAGCTCAATGCAGCCTCAAATTTCTGGGCCCAAGCAACCCTCCCTCCCACCTTGCTCTCCAGAGTAGCTGGGACTACAGCTGTGCACTACCACATCTGGCAAATATATATATATTAGAGATGGAGTGTTACTATGTCACCCAGTCTGGTCTCAAACTCCTGGCCTCAAGTGATCTTCCCACCTTGGCCTCCCAAAGTGCTGGGGCTACAGGCGTAAGCCACCACACCCCACTTATTCCTTATTTTAAAAATAGCTGCAGGGTTGGGCACGGTGGCTCACGCCTGTAATCCTAACACTTGGGGAGGCCGAGGCGGGCGGATCACGAGGTCATGAGATCGAAACCATCCTGGCTAACCCGGTGAAACCCGTCTCTACTAAAAATACAAAAAATTATGCAGGCAAGGTGATGGGCACCTGTAGTCCCAGCTACTCAGGAGGCTGAGGCAGAAGAATGGTGTGAACCCTGGAGGTGGAGCTTGCAGTGAGCCGAGATCGTGCTCCTGCATTCCAGCCTGGGCGGCAGAGCGAGACTCTGTCTCAAAAAAAAAGAAAAAAAAAACCAGCTGCAGTGTTCCCACAGCTCATCTTGGAAGAGGGGTCCCAGAGAGGACTTAGCCTGGATCTTGGCCTTGAGCTTCCAGCCTGCTGTGGCCGACCTCCTCATTCATTTTTTGGCCACCTGTGGAGTAGAGCGAGGGACCCCAGTCTGTGGGAGCCCAGAGAAGGGTGTTGCGGATTCTGCCTGGAGATCAGACTGGAAAGCTTTCCTAGGAGAAGCGTGTATTGGAATTGGGCTTTGAAGGATAAGTAGGAGTTTGTTAGCTGGGGAAAGGCATTTCCAGCAGAGGAAAAAGAATGGGCAAAAGGGTGGAAGTAGGAAGATTCCTGGTAATGTTGGGACTTCTGGTTTTTTGCCACACCTTCTCAAGGCAGATTTTTTTGCATCATTCAGTTCAATGTCACTATCTAAGATAGTGTCACGACTTCACTCCTCCACTCCTCCGGACGCTGCCCTGCACCTCCTGCCTGCCCAGCCTCTGATGTGGGGTTGCGGGGTCCTCTTAGATGCCCTCCCTGTCTCCCTTTGTTTAATCAGCTTCATTTCTCCACATGGCAACTGCTTTTCACGTTCTTCATTGTTAACAGCTCCCTAACGGGTACTCCAGTTTCGCCCATGTCACTGTGACACACTGTCTCTTCTTCACTCTTCACTCTAAGAGATCCCCGAGAAAGCCAGTGTCACTACTTCATCCCCAGAGTCTAGAATGGTGCCTGACACACAGTAGGTGCTCATTAAATACACATTGAACCAAGAGATGAAGAGGTGATAAAGGAGATAGGTAAAAGGCAGAGGGCTTTGGAGGCATCTGCAGAATGGGGATAATGATAACCTACCTCCTAGGTTTGTGCAGAAGGTCCTCAGAAAGGGTCCAAAAATGTGTAAAAAGTACCCAGTCTGAATTATTTATTGATGTCTTAGATCAGGGACCATGGAAGTCTCAAGTCCTCCCACATGGGGGTCTATTTGAAGTGGGTTTTATTTTTTGTTTTTTTTTTTCCCCTGGGCAGTCCTTCCAATCACAGCAGGTTCAGGCGAGGTGTTGTAGTGGCTCACACCTGTAATCCCAGCACTTTGGGGTCCCAAGGCGGGTGGATCACCTAAGGACAGGAGTTCGAGACCAGCCTGACCAACACAGTGAAACTCCATCTCTATTAAAAATACAAAATAATCTGGACATGGTGGCGCATGCCTGTAATCCCAGCTACTTGGGAGGGTGAGTCAGGAGAATCACTTGAACCCAGGGGGCAGAGGATGCAGCGAGCCGAGATCGCACCACTGCACTCCAGCCTGGGGAATAAGAGCAAAACTCCGTCTCAAAAACAAAACAAACAAACAAACAAACAAAAAAGAATCACAGCAGACTCCTGAAGTGGATTTTGAGGTATAAGAAGGAGTTTACCAAGCAGTAAGTGGTAGACTCTTTTTTTTTTTTTTTTTTTTTGAGACGGAGTCTTGCCCAGGCTGGAGTGCAATGGCACAATCTCGGCTCATTCCTAGCTCCGACTCCCGGGTTCACACCATTCTCCTGCCTCAGCCCTCCCAAGTAACTGGGACTACAGGCACCCGCCACCACGCCCGGCTAATTTTTTGTATTTTTAGTAGAGACAGGATTTCACTGTGTTAGCCAGTGATCTCCTGACCTCGTGATCCGCCCGCCTCGGCCTCCCAAAGTGTTGGGATTACAGGCTTGAGCCACCGCGCCCGGCCTGCCCAGCTCATTTTTGTATTTTTAGTAGAGATGGGATTTCACCATGTTGGCCAGGATGGTCTTGATCTCCTGACCTCAGGATCCACCCGCCTCTGCCTCCCAAAGTGCTGGGATTACAGGCATGAGCCACCACGCCCAGCTGGTAGACTCTTTTTTTGTTTTGAGTCAGGGTCTCGCTCTGTCACCAAAAAAAAAAAAAAAAAAAAGAGTCTACCACTTACTGCTTGGTAAACTCCTTCTTATACCTCAAAATCCACTTCAGGAGTCTGCTGTGATTCGGTTTTTTTTGTTTGTTTGTTTTTGTTTTGTTTTGTTTTTGAGATGGACTTTTGCTCTTAATGCCCAGGCTGGAGTGCAGTGGCGTGATCTCGGCTCACTGCATCCTCTGCCTCCTGGGTTCAAGTGATTCTCCTGACTCACCCTCCCAAGTAGCTGGGATTACAGCCGCTGTCCCAGTTTCTGCTGTGAGTCAGGTGGGTGGCCCTGCCCGGCCGGTTCCCCCAGGGCCCCAGCTCCTGCCCCCGCCCTGGGGAGAAGGGCCAGGACAGCAACTGCCACCATCCCTGCAGCCACTCCTCCACTCCTACGGACGCTACCCTGCACCCCCTGTCTGCCCAACCTCTGACGTGGGGTGGCGAGGTCCTCTTAGATGTCCTCCCTGTCTTCCTTTGTTTAATCAGCTTCATTTCTCCGCATTGCAACTGCTTTTCACTTTCTTCATTGTTAATAGTTCCCTAACAGGTACTCCAGTTTCGCCCATGTCACTGTGACACACTGTCTCTTCTTCATTCTTCACTCTAAAAGATCCCCGAGAAACCCAATTTTTTTTTTTTTTTTTTTTTTTTTTTAAGACGGGGTCTCTCGCTCACGATCTTGGCTCACGGCAGCCTCTGCCTCTCGAGTTCAAGCGATTCTCAGGCCTTGGCCTCCCGAGTAGCACCCACCATCACGCCCAGCTAACTTTTGTGTTTTTAGTAGAGACAGGGTTTGACCATGTTGGCCAGACTGGTCTGCAACTCCTGACCTCAAGTGATCCACCTGCCTCGGCCTCCCAAAGTCCTCAGATCACAGGTGTGAGCCACCGAGCTCAGCTGAGAAAGCTGAATTGAACCACGGTTCCCCATCCCCCCTGCCGACTCCCCTTATCTCCTTCCCTACCCTGGTCTGCTTTTCATGCCCCAAACACACCAAGCTCAGTCCAGCCACAAAGCCTTTGCTTTACTCTGCTTGGAGTCCTGGCTTCTTCCAACATGTAAATCTGAACTCAAAGCCGGGCACAGTGCCTCACGGCTGTAATCCCAGCACTTTGGGAGGCCGAGGCAGGCAGATAACCTGAGGTCAGGAGTTCGAGACCAACCTGACCAACAGGGTGAAACCCTGTCTCTACTAAAAACACAAAAATTAGCCAGGCATGGTGGCCCGTGCCTGTAGTCCCAGCTACTTGGGAGACCGAGGCAGGAGTATCGCTTGATCCCGGGAGG